ACTAGCACTACCGTTCCAAAGGCAGGTTAGCTTAGGGGTGGGTGTCGGTGGATCTGGTGGCGAGGAGCAACTAGAGACAAGGTAGGCAGGCATGGTGGGGTGTTTGCAGGAGACACCATGGATGACCGGAGGTAGAAGAAGACAGGAGGTAGAGACTGACCATTCGATTTGCATCCAATGACTAAAAATAAAGAGTGACACTAAAAGAATAAAGAGTGTCCAAACCAGTTTAAAATATTCAATTATGGGGTAGACAGCTTCTAAATATAAACACGAAAATAATTATTTTTGTGGCTGAATAGAATTCCTTCCTTTAGAGCAAGGCTAATAATATAGCCGGCTACTGGCTGTAAGGAGACTTACAGCCAATCTATCAACCTACTCATATAATAGTTAGCCAGCTTACAACCCACTTGTCTATGTCACAGAATTTCTTGGTTCCTGTGCATAAGTTGGCTGTAAGCTTACAGCCCGCTTGTCTTCACTACGTAAAAAATGATTTTTAGCAACGGGATGAATTTTTTTAGGGGCGGCTGGTGATGGAGTCGCCCCTGCAGTGGCGTGCTCGGGAGCCCAAACACCAGCCGCCCCTACAAATGGAATAGCAGGGGCGGCTGGTGATATGAGCCGCCCCTACAAATGGGTCTGATTTGTAGGGGTGGCTCACTCACCTGCCGCCCCCGGCGTTGCTATTTGTAGGGACGGCTGGTGATTGAGCCGCCCCTACAAATGCCCCCATATAAATACCTCTGATTTGTAGGGACAACTCAATCACCAGCCGCCCCTAAAAATAACCCACATATAAAACAACTGCAGCACCTTCTTTCTCCTCGGGTCACTCACTCCAACTCGTGAAAGAAAGGTGGGGAGACCTTGGGCACCTCCAAAAATTGCTCTACTAAGGGAAAGATTTTGATCTCAAATCCTTTAGTGGAGAGGTTGTAGAAGGTAAGAAAATGCTATTCACACACTTTTTTTTAAGTTTTAATGGTTGGTTAGTGAGTAATTAAAGTTTTGTTTTTCTCTCTCTTCTATGGTGCTTGAGATACTTATGAAGCAAACTAGACCCAATTTTTAAATGTACTAGAATTAATTAAGGAGGAGAACAAGATCATACTCTTATTTAGTCTATGTTTCTTGATTTTAGTAAACAATTAGTTAGTTTTATGCATGTTTCTTGTGCATGTAGATCTAGATCTAGGGTTTGGTTTTTTATTAATTTCGTTTTTATAAATTTATGTTTGATAAAATTGGACTAGGGTTTGTATGAAAGATATTGGTAAAGTATAATTGTTGCTAATTGTTGTCTTTGAAATTGTTTATTGTAATCAATAAATATGTATTTTAATTATTTTTGGATCAATGGGCCATTAATTAATTTTTCTCTACCATGGTATGTTTGTATGCTTCATGCAATTATATTAGATTTATATTCATATATATCTGAAGTATATACAATTATTCTCAAGTAATTATTAATTTGATTCATTTTTATATATATCTGAATAAGTAGTCCTTTAATGTTTGTTTTGTTGTTGTTGTAAAAGAAGGAGTACAGGAACTCTTAGATGTATGGTTCGTTAAGGTTCAAGGCAGGTTTCCATGAAGAGGTGGATAAATTTATTGAAGCCACAAAGAAGCATGCAACGACATTGAAAGAGAATAAGGATACAATTATTTGTCCCTGTAAAATTGCAAAAACCGCATGGCATGGACAGATGTGACTATCATCAGATCATATTTGATTATGCGAGGATTTGTTGAGGACTACACAATGTGGATTCATCATGGTGAAATGGTTATTGTTAACGATGAGGATGAGGAGGAATACGATGACGAAACCATAGAATCTCTGTCCCAATATTCAACAGAGCTTGATGCACGAATGGATTTCGAGTTTGGCAATGAACAAGGTGGTGATGCTGGTGGTTGGGATGGTAACGATGAAGGTGGTGCCAATAATGATGGTGGAGCACGTGTCAGGGATAAAGATGATTTAGAGGACATGATTCGAGCTCTTGGACCAGAGATTTTACTAAATAGCCGAAAGGTCTAGAAATTTTGGAAAGGATGACAAAAGCATCAAAGGAGACTGTGTATGGTGTTGAAAAGGGTTGTCCGACACATTGGACATTGCTATGTTTTGTACTTGAGTTGCTCATCCTGAAGGCTAAGTACGGTTGGTCAGACTGTAGTTTCAATGATCTATTGCATCTCCTATCATGAGTGCTGCCACAACCAAACTTAGTTCCCGCCAACACATAAGGCCAGTTTATGTTTCGATGAAAGACGTCTCGTCGGTGTCCAAGTGGTATTCCCATGACCAATTCATGCCTGAGAACCAAGTTAAAAAAGTCCCATCATGGTCAAAGGATTGCCCAAACTCCACCAAATTGCAAAGCAGTATCCAAATATTGATGCCATCAAATGGTCAAAGGATTGTCCAAAAACATATGAAATAGGCAAGCCCTTCCTACCAAACCAGGACATCCAGCGCCCACCACTTGAAATGAGAATATTCCAAGATTGGTACTTACGTGTTCTCCCAACGAGCATAGACCTCATACAAGCATGCTTCCCCACCGGCACATTTGGAAGCCCGGCCGGGAAAATTGTCTTTGACTTCAATGACATGCACACATGCTTTCACTTGGGAGAAATGGAGATGAATCTAATTCGCACGTGGTGCTTGTAAGTTCTTGTCCTCCCAATATGATATGAATGTAATCTTTGAATTTTGTTGTAATTAACCCACGCCGTGATTTGTAGAATGCAAGTGCACATTGTCAAACAAATGCCAAGTGTGAAAGTCGGGTATCTAGACCCTCAAGCTATAGCCCAAACAAATTTTAATTACCCTAAACAGTGGAAACTAGATGTCAAAGAGCTAGATGCTGCAAAGACTCTTCGGGGAAAGAGCACATCCATACGGCGAAACTAAGGGAAGAGTCCCTTAAGGTTGCGGCATATATTGCCCTAACTTTCAAAACTCTCCAACAACACTCTACTATATGGCTACCATACAACTTCGAGTAAGTTCAACTATATACTTAAAGCTTTGTTCGATATATTTTATTCGATGCAAAAGAGTTTATCTAGTTCTATGATTAAATACATGCAGCAACCACTAGATTTATATAGCCGTCGATGTCGGGAGGAGCATGGCATGGGTCTTTAATTCAATAGATAGGGACCCAATGATATACAAAGACTTTATATCGATTCTCAAGTCGTATACATATCGATAATCCTCATTAGCTTATATGTTTCTATACATACTTGTAACGTTCACTTTTGGATACTAATAAATTGTATTTGCTAAAATAATTCGAACAGGCCATTTAGGTTCTATGTCACTAATCATCATGGAAGGTATGATCCAACAAAGAAGGAAAAGCTTGCTATAAAAATACTATGTGCGGTAAGTGTAACTTACTTCTTTAGTACTCCATTACATGGCTGTCAAAAGCATTACTTAACATTTTCATATGCAAAACACACAGTGCCCCAAGCAGAAACCTAGAAGTGTATATTGTGGATACTATATATGTTCTATGATGAGTAACACTGGTGCCTACAGGAGACACCCCTTAAGGGTAAGTTTGAACCTCTTCATTTGTAGTATAAAAACTTCGTAGATGGTATGAAATACTAAACCGAAACTTATTCTCTTGTAGTGGAAAGAAGAGAAAGGAATGAAAAGAGACTCATACAAGGATGATCAACTCTTAGAGCTCATCGGTGACCTTTGCAACTTCATATTAGACTAGATTGTACACGTCAAAGACGCCTACCATGACCGAGAGTCTGACTTAGGTAGAAATCCTCAGTACCAACACCTTCGTGAGACTGAAAGGCTAGCTCTAGGACGTTGATAACAATGTGTATGAAATTTGTATATTTAATGATGGATTGTATATATTCTTGTGAATTGGACTTATAATTGTAGTTTATATAATACTCTTGTGCTTTAGTCTAAGGGGTTCGGAACGTTGGTCGCGGGGTGTTTGGCAACGTGAACGCGGTTCGGAACGTTGGTCGCGGGACGTTCGGCAACGCGAACGCGGTTCGAAACATTGGTCGCGAGGCGTTCGGCAACGCGAATGCTGGATGGAATACGCGGAAACAAACAGTGATTCGGTTGAATTTGAATTGTACATTTGAATTTTTTTTACGGAAAAACGTACTGTAAGGGCGGTTTTAGATTGAACCGCCTCTACAAGCAGGTATTATAGAGGAGGCTAGTATTGCAGTCGCCCCTACAAATCGATTTGTAGGGGCGGCTGGTACTACAGCCGTCCCTACAAATCTAGGGGCGGTTGGTAATACGAGTCGCCCCTACAAATCGATTTGTAGGGATGGTCTGAGAACTACCCCTACAAATGCATGATTTATAGTGACGGTTCGGTAGGGGCGGCTGGCCAAACCGCCCCTACAAAGGGTTACGAGCCGCCCCTAAAAATAATTTCTGTAGTAGTGCTTCTCTCTCCTCTCATCTCTCCTCCACGTCAACATTCAGCCCACTTACAGCCTCTTAGAGTAAGGCTAATAATACAGCCGGCTACTGGCTATATGAATGTTTGCAGTCTACCTCTTAGCTCACTCATATAGTAGTTATATCTTCACTATTAATACATAGCTCACTTGTCTCTCTCATAAGTTTTTTAGTTCTTGTGTCCAAATTGACTATAAGCTTACATACTGTTTTTCATTTCTTTCCTTATCTTTTCCATCCATCTTAGTATTTAGTTTGCTTGCAGCCCCTTATTATACTCGCTCTTAGCTGTGTAGCTAGCTGACGTCTCGCAGCCGCGTGAGGCGCGCACGCAGTGGCCGCTTCATGACTGTGAAGAACCCGAGGTGCGGCCGTAGGTCAACGCCGAGCTCGCCCTCGGCCTCCGCCCACTCGAACTCCCTCACGAGATTGGCGACGAAGTAGCCAAGATGGAGCACGGCGACGCCCATGCCGGGACACATCCTCCGGCCGGCACCAAATGGCATCATCCTAATCTCCCAGCGATGCCCGCGGCCGGCACCAGGCTGATGCCCGCGCCCTCGCCGCCAACCAGGAACCTCTCCGGCCCGAACTCACGCGGGTCGGTCCACGCCGTCTTGTCACGTGCCAGCCGCGCCAGCGGAAAGTGCACCGCCGTTCGGGCAGGGAGACGCCGACCGTCCAGCGCCACATGGTCCTCGGCCATCACCTTGTTAATTATATAACACAAAGCTTATAAGCTTGTTGCATGCGTGACGATGATTAAAAGCAGTGACATTTGATTATTTAGAAACTTTGGATTGATTTATTAACAATACTAATTCTCTCACCTTCCTAAGCACCATGGGCACGGTGGGGTGCGGCCGGAGCCCTTCCATGATGGTGGCGTTGAGGTACTCCAGCCTTCCAAGAACCTCCTCGCCGACCTCCTCGGCGTCGGCACTCATGACGGCGTCGATCTCCTTCCGAAGCGCGCTGCACGTCGGCCGCTTCACTAGGTTCGCCATGATCCACTGCAGCGCCGCGGCAGCGGGCTCCGTGCCGGCGCCTAGAAACTCGGAGCAGAGACCCACGAGCTCACCATCAGTGAGCCTGCGCTGCCGCCGCTGCTTACGACGTTTGCCGCTGCCTGAGCCAGCGGCGGCGTGCTCGTCCGGCACGCGGAGGTCCACGAGCGTGTCCACGTACACCGGGGGCTCGCCATGGCGGCTGTCGCAGCGGCCGTCGATGAGCGGAAGGTACATCTCCTCCTGCTGCCGCCGGAGCTGGAGCCAATGTTTTTTTTACCGGTAGGAAAAAAATTTGGTCCCCAACCATAAATATAAAATTTCAAAAATATTGGATCAAATTTAAATAAATTCAAATTGATTTTTTTTAAAAAAAATTAACATCATTTCACTAAAAACACTCTCAGTCCATCGTCCATCACAAATTTGTATAAAATAGACGAAATAACACAATATATCACCACGGTAATATAGCGGGCTGGCTGATGTGGGTGAGCTGCATATGCTAGCGCCATCGAATGTGTGAGTGAGAAAAATAAATTTGAAGAAATTTAGGACTTTGATAAAACTAGAGGATATGGAGGGTCATTTTAGTGTGGCTTGGTGTAATTTTGAAGCGGAAGATAAATTTAACCGAAAATTTTTTATCGATATAATTTTTTTTCGGACCTCAGTAAAAAAGACGATATTTCAGAAATTTGGATGATATTTCGCCGAAATTGTAAACGTTGGCTGGAGCAGCTTCCTCCATCGGTTCGGGTAGATCAGCCCGGTGACCGCGGGGAGCATGGCGAAGACGCGCAGTCCGAGGAAGCACTGGACGAGGTCGTCCTGGGCATCGGCCATTGCCCGCACGAGGCCCGCGTCGACGCCAGCGCCGAAGCACATGGTGGCGAGCAGGGCGAACATGGCCGCGAGCACCGCACCGCCGAACGCGCACTGGCGGTGCAGGTCCGCGACGAGACCGCGGAGGGCGTGGCGGCGCGCGGGGCCGTACTGCCAGAGGCTCGACGGGTGGAAGATTTCGGATGTGAGGTTGCGTCTGATCGCGCGCCAGAGCGGGCCGTACGGCGCCGAGTTGATGTTGTAGTGCCGGTGGCGCGAGAGCACGGCGCTGGGCACGATGGAAGGGGGGCGGTCCGAGAGCGCGCCGCCCGCGGCAACGCCGCTGACAAGGAGGCGGTGCGCGGCGAAACGGTCGGTGACGAAGACCTCCGGCTGGCGGCCGAGAGTGGGGAGCTTCCTGAGGACGGCCGACTTGACTGCGGCGAGCCGCGTGTAGGCTGCCTCGCACGCCAACGCATGCCGGCGCCGGCTGACGATGAGGATGGAGAGCGTCAAGGGGAGCAAGAGGAGGAAGATTAGGGCGTCTTGCATGGTTGTTTGTATCAGCTCTGGTACTTGTGTGTAATGCTCGTAAGAGTCGCATTATAAATAATGATAGTATAAAGAAGTTTGTCTACGTGGCATTCCTGTATTTTGGCGGCTTGGTGGTGACTAGGCTAACAACCGTTTGTTGCACGAACAAGTTCCGAGCTTTGCGGACGCACGAATTTTGCTCCATCAGATCATAAACCAACGGCCAGATTAATTTCTTATCCCGTTATTGTGAATGTTTCCAACTAGCCCGATGCATGGATATTGGACAACTTTATCTCTGATGGTAAACGTATTTTTTTCCTCAGAGGAGCATATATTTTCCTTAGGTTCTCCTATCGCTACCGTTGTTAGATATGCATAAGGCCCTCCATAGTGTGAAGTGATGCATAAAAATATTGGAATCTCATAGAGAAGATTTTAGCTTGACTCATCAAATGCCGCAGCGTGGGCAGTGCAGCATCGCTGAAGGCCCACCTAATATATTTGTTAAAATATAGAGCTGTTGCATGTCTCTTTCGTCCTTGCTGAGTACTAGTTAGAACACGCTATGCAGAAAACATTTTTTAAAGAAGATAGCACCGGCGTAAGTAGATGCACTGCTCTCGGTTTTCTTAGCATAGGCATCGGTGTCTGCACTGGTTCAAGTGATGCCCCAACTCTTTTTTTTTTCTTAGCATAGGCATCGGTGTCTGCACTGGTTCAAGTGATGCCCCAACTCTTTTTTTCAGTTTCAGGCATCACTTTAGCATAATACTGTGAAAGGCCTAAAGATAGGTGTACTATAAAATAATATTATGTCTCTTAATAGTCCATCCATCCTCATGTACATTCAACAGCTACCCATGTCCTCGAGGACAGATTTAACTTTCCATGGTTATACGGGTTAGACGTGAATATGGAGCCGGTCGTGGCTGTTCTCAACAAGCCCGATGTTCTGTTGTTTTTTGGGTGGTTATTCAACTGTTGAGCCTAATGAACAACATAAATAAGGCCATAATACTAGCAAGGAGAAATATATATATATGGTCATAATAAATAACGTGAAGTTTAAATTAAAAACGTCATATTTTTTTATAATAAAAAGTCCATCTAATTAATTATTTTGCTCGTGAAAATTAGGAACGGATTACAGAGGAGGTGGTGCGCGGCGAAAGGGTCGGTGACGAAGACCTCCTGCTGCTGGTTAAGCATTAAGGAAGGGCTTATTATTGAGGGCAGCATTAAGAAAGAGCGTCAAAGGCAGCCAGAGGAAAAAGATTACCTAGTCTCGCATTGTTGTTGGCTTCGGCTCTTTGGCTCTAGCACTTCTGAACAACGGGCCTATACTCAGCTTTATGGGGCTGTTTGCTGCTTGTCGACGCAGAAGGAATCAGCGACCATTATTTTGGTACAGTATTTGCTGCCGGCCATTCAGGATAGTTTCTTTCTAAAAATTTAGTCCTTGTTCAGATGTTTGACACATGCAGAGAGTATTAAATATGGATTAAAAAATAACTAATTGTACAGATTACGACTAATTTATGACGGATTTTTCAAACCTAATTAGTCCATGATTTGGCAACAAGGTGATACAGTATAGCTACAGTACCTGTACTAATGCCGGGTTAATTAGCTTAATAAATTCATCTCGTGGATTCTGATGACTTCTGTAATTTATTTTATTATTACTATCCGAACACTCGCATGTGACACCTCTAAACTTTAGCCCTGAATTTAAACACCACCTTAGCAGCAGCATGCATGCTGGCAGACCATGCAGCACAGCAGCAGGGAGCAAGTCCCATCTGACTTTTGACCCAGTTGGAGCGTAGCCACGGTTGACTTGTTCCCGGTCGTAATCCTCCGTCTCTAAATAATTGTTGCTTTTTATTTCCGTACCGTAAGTTTAACTGGATCTGTAAAAAATGCGTGCAACATTTGTATCTCAAATAAATTTATTATGAAAATAAATTCAACGATCTATCTAATTATATTAATTTTGTACCATAAATATTAATATTTGTATATATATAGTCAATTTTGGGTACTTACTCATTACCAAAGATTACCGATGCAGTCCAGATACAGCAATATAGGCCAATATGTTTTTTAAATATGAGCTTTAAGATTTTTACAAAAGTTTTAAATAATAGATTATTAAAAGTGGCAGCTGATATGGCCAACTCAGGGAGCTATATAATGGAAGGTGTTGTAATTTTGCATGAAACAATTCATGAGTTGCAAATGAAAAAACAAGATTGTGTCATTTTAAAACTAGACTTTGAAAAAATATATGACAAACTAAAGTGGCTCTTTATACAACAAGTTCTTAGAATGAAAGGGTTCTCATCAACTTGGTGTGAATGGATTTGGAAAGTCACCTCTAGAGGGAGTGTTGCAGTAAAGGTCAATGATAATATATGCCATTATTTTCAAACAAGGAAAGGAGTGCTTCAAGGGATCCGTTATCTCCGATTCTATTTAATACAGTGGTTAACATGTTGGTTGTCCTTATTTCACGAGCTAAAGAGGTAGAACAAATCAAAAGGGTTGTTCTACATTTGGTTGAGGAAGGACTTTCAGTCCTTCAGTATGCGGATGACACTATTATCTTTATGGACAATGATCTAGAGAGGGCCAAAAACATGAAGCTCTTGCTTTATGCTTTTGAACAATTATCAGGACTCAAGATCAATTTTTATAAGAGTGAATTGTTTTGCTACGGGGCTACCAAAGCCAATCAAAGTGAATATGTACAAATTTTTGGGTGTAATGTAGGATCATTCCCGTTTAGATACCTAGGAATTCCTATGCACCATAGAAAACTCATGAATAAGGACTAGAAACATGTTGAGGAAAGATTCCAAAAAAGGCTCAATTGTTGGAGGAGTAAGATGCTGTCAGTAGGAGGGAGGCTTTTTCTAATTAACTCTGTTTTGAGTAGTCTTCCCATGTTTATGTTGTCCTTTTTTGAAATTCCTAGAGGGGTTTTGAAGAAGTTGGATTACTTTAGATCACAGTTTTTCTGGCAGAGTGATGAAGATAAGAAAAGTATAGATTAACTAAGTGAGAGATAGTTTTCACACCGAAAGACCAAGAAGGGTTGGGAGTCCTAAATTTAGATGTTCACAATAAGTGCCTCCTAAGCAAATGGCTGTTTAAATTGTTGAATGGAGATGGGTTTGGCAACAATTGCTTAGGAATAAATATTTAAGGAACAAAAGTTTGACGCAGTTCAATACATGTCCGGGAATTCTCAGTTTTGGGCTAGCCTTATGAAGGTCAAGAGGGAGTTTCTTTTGTTGGGCAAGTTTGATCTAGGTGATGGGTCATAAGTGCGATTTTGGGAGGACTCGTGGATAAGACTGCGTCCACTAAAATCGCTCTTTCCTGCACTATATAACATTGTGAGAAGGAAGAATGCGTCCATAAGATCAATGTTATCTATGACCCCGTTAAATGTAGCCTTCAGGAGATCTCTGATGGGTGTTAACCTGCAAGCATGGCACAATGTGGTGGCTATAGTGGCAGATGTACAACTAACAAATCAGAGAGACCACTTTGTGTGGGGATTACATCAAAATGGGTTGTTTTCTATCAAATCAATGTACAAAGCTTTATTAGGAGCAGAAACTATACCATATAACACATTAATCTGGAAACTAAAACTACCTCTCAAAATCAAAGTCTTTATGTGCTACTTGTACAAGGGAGTAATTCTAACAAGGATAATTTGGCACGACGGCAGAGGCAAGGAGATAGGAAATGTTGTTTCTGTTCTTCGAACGAGTCTATACAACATCTACTTTTTAACTGTCATTTTGCTAAGTTTATTTGGAGAATTGTTCATGTTTCCTTTAATCTATTAGCTCCAACTAGTGTACACAATCTGTTTACAGGCTGGTTGGAAGGGATAAATAGAAAACTAAAATCTCATATTCTTGTGGGTGCAAGCGCAATTTGTTGGGCGATTTGGTTAACCCGAAATGACATCATGTTTGACAAGGTTGTAGCATCATCTTACTTGCAGGCTATCTTCAGGGGGACTTACTGGACTAGGTTCTCGTCCTTGTTACAGAAGGAGGAGGATCGCCATTTGATGAAGATGGGTTGCAAGACCATTGAGACAGTCGCGATGGAAGTGTTTGCAAGAAACGGCTGGAGTTTTAGCAATAGACTTGCTTTTTAGTAGCGGGTGTTTTTGTTTTCTATTATGGCGCAAAACTTTGTTTTTGAGATTCCGTGGACCGTTTTATTCCTGTTTATAATAAGGAACAGCCATATGCATTGGTCGATGCAGAAGCTGGAATATTAATATATTCCCTTTTCTATAAAAAAAAGTTGTTTCTCATGAAGAAAATGATAGTTATTTAGAGACGGAGAGAGTATTGTAGCTCTCCTGCCTGTGCTAGCTGCTTCCACATCACGCGTTCCTGTAAACCGTGTTGCAAGAGAAACTAGATCGTTTTCTATATTATAATAAAGAAGAAAAAATATCCAGATTTGAGTTCATGATGACTCAATCCAAATGATTAGGATTCACATTCATACCTCCCTCACCAACTCGTAGATTATTTATAAAAGTATCTCGCACATTTAGTCAATATATCGTTACTTCTTGCATTAATTATTTGAACACTTTCCTAGTGGACCAAGTTTTTTATCCATCAATCCAATAAGAAACTGGCTGAGCTCAACCAATATGTTCGGAAGAATCATTCCCATATGTGCCGACACTGTTGTTTTGTTTCTAGTGAGGACCCAAATATGCTCTAGACGAGAAATTTGGGATTTGGTGAATCGTTTCATGATTTATAAAGTTCCCAAAAATCCGTTCCAGTCTATTGTCCTTGTTTCAAGCAGCAGTTATTCCAGCAAAGCCCACTCTAGAGGGTGTATAACCTGAGAGTCATCAAATCCCAATTTTCTTGTTCTAGACTAATTCATTAAAATTTGGGGGGAAACTAAGCCCCACTTAGTGTTTTAGAGTACATCGACATCTGAGGATGATTTACTTAGGACAACTAAAAAATCTCCTACTCCCTCAAGTATTTTCGTTTGGATTCCTTTCAATTACAAGACTAGACTCCAATAAGATTTTGGCGAATAATATACTTAAGAGTTGGTAATAACGGTACTGTACCCTGGAGATCAAATCCTATCATTGCAAATGTAACTGCAGGATGAGTAAGGGCCTAATCGGATCCACTTGTGCTAACAGTTAGTAGCTAAAATTAGTACCAGTGGATCCAAACAAAACTGTTAATAGACTAACTATCATAGACCAAATCCCTCTTTTGGCCGGTTGATGTGCACAGAATCTTACAAATTCCTCTTTCCCCTGGGAGAGAGGATCTAGTGTGGCCTGGTATCATAACTGTAATGAGCTCTTCTCGGTCAGGTCAGCCTACCATCAGCAGTGGTTGCACAAATTCGGGGGAAATATCATTGTTGATCAAGCCAGTGGTGTGGGGGATAAAGAAGTATGGTCACGATTATGGCAACTGGCAGTGTCTGGCAAAATCAAAGTCTTCGGATGGAGGGTGCTGCATGGGCGTTTACCGTGCCAAGGCCTTCTAGCTAATCAGCATATAGAAAATTCCAGCAGCTGTCCAGCTTGCCACGGTGGTTGTGAAGATACTAAGCACCTGTTGTTTACAAGTAACCGAGCTAAGGAAATTTGACAGAGGCTCGGAGTATGGAATAAGATAGAATTATAGAAAGGATTATGGAAATAGACAGATCAGGTTCAGTCGTCATGGCGGAGGTGAGAAGTATAAGGAAATTTGGAAGAAGCTGAATCAAGTGGATCGATAGTGGCCAACTGTCGAGGTGATGGCGCTTAAGGAGGGACTATTGCTAGCACAACACATTTGGTGCAACGGATTCATCATTCACTAAGATTGCCTGAAGTGGTGCAAACAATTAAGTGGGACAAGGGGGTCTCCCGCAACAGCTGGTGCTCCAATCTACGATGAATGCAATATGCTCTGGCATGATTTTCAATCAGTATCCGTTGAGCATTGTGGCCGAGAAGCTAATCAGGTGGCGTGTGTGTTTGCTAGGGAAGCTTGATCCTTGAAACATTCATGTATTTGGGTCGATGAACCCCTGGCTTTATATTAGAAAGTTTAGTGAACGATGTAACTCTGTTTACAGCTGAATAAAGTGTGCCACATTGCTTAAAAAATTATCATAGACCAACTAACTATTAACTAGAGGGCTGCTAACTATTAGTTATATTAACAAGTTTAGGACTGCTAATAGATGCTAATTACGAGACTAACCACCGCCCACCTATTAGTATATTAGTAGGTGGATTCAAACAGCCCCTGTTTATAATTAACTATAGCTAATATATAGTTATTAGCTAGCTGTAACAACCGACTAGGAGCACAATCGATTGCTACGGATAGTGTGTGGATTAATCAACGATATGTGGCAATAGAGTGCTTACAGAACGGATAAATGGAATTGGTCACCGCTGGCCAACTCGAGCCGCAGCTCGCCGCCAACAACTCCGGCGTGTACCCACAAGTTCAATTTCTCTTCTCCCCCCTCTTTTAAGCTAAACGGTTACAGCTGTCTTAGGGCTTTTTTTTTTGGACAGCTCCAACAGATCTAGATCCACCAAATTCAGATCCAGATCTAAAAAAAAAAAGTTTGTCAAACAAACTCAACTCTACCAGTGGTGATCTACTCCACCAAATTGATAGATCTGTCCTCAGATTCACCAAATTGGTAGATCTTCTTAAGGGGTGCTCCACCGGATACAACTTTAGTGGAGTTAGAGAAAATTAACCAACACTGCCACTGGTCACGTAAAAATAACGATTCGATTCATTCTGTTTTTCGCGTTCACTGTCGCGGGCGCCCCTTCTCTACCGCATCCCCACACCTCGCCGCGCCGGAGCCCCGCCCGCAGCTCACCCAAGACCCGCCTGCGAGCTCCCCAGGCAGCACGCCATGGCCGGCCGCGAGCTTCGGAAGCCGAGCTGGATCCCTACCCGCGAGCTCCGGAGACTGAGCTCCCCAGGCCGCGCCGGAACCCCGCCCGCGAGCTCCCCAGGCCGCACGCCATGGCCGCCTGCGGCTCTATGACGGTCGCGACCTCCTCCCAATGCAGGCCGCGAGCCCTCCGGTGGCACCGCGCCGCTCACCATGGCCGGACGCGCGAGCTCTGGAGGCTGCCCACCTGCCTCGTCGAGGCCGCGTCCGCCCGCTCCCTCCCCGCCCGAGGTCGCTGCTCCGTCTCGCAACCCCGATGCTCGAGGGCAGCCATGGCCGCCGCCCCCGCACGCCGCCCACCAGCCGGCTGCGCGCCGCTCCCCACTCCCCACCGATGCTCTGCTATGATCTGATCCAATCGGTAGGAAGAAGAAGACCGAGGGGATGCTGACGTGTGGGACCCACGTGGAAGTGAAATAGAGATGAAATGGAGCTGTCCCAAACACCTCCAGCTCTGCTAGCTCCTGCTCCACGGTAGATTTAGGTGAATCCTAAATTCAGATCCACTATTTAGCTTGGTGGAGCTGTCCCAAACAGGCTCTTAGCAGCAAGTTTCCAGATGCAGCTGGTTGGGCCGTCTTCACTTCTTCCGGTCTGGGCCGATGAACTTTGAGTTGGGCTTCTCTGTACGCTTGCTCTTCTGGGCCTTGGTCACAGTACGCACTGTGACACTAGCTAACTAATAGTACTAGTTTTGCTAAAAAAAAAACTAATAGTACTAGTGGATCCAATAGTGCCTAAGTCTACCGTCAGATTCATATTCCAATTTCCAACTATATTCAGAAGGGGAAAAAAAAAGATAGAGCAAAAGCATTGGTGCCTGCAGTTAATCCACAGAACACTATCTAATAATCAACTAAAGTCTGAAGTCACGTGACCGGCAATTTACAAGTGACGAACAGAACATGGAGGATCTCAGTTCCTGCCAAAGCGTCACAGTTTGTAGTCTGTACACGTCATAGCAAAATGCGAGCTCCACCAGCCGGTCCTTTGGACATAACAAAAGAACACATTCTGTTCTACAAAAGAAAACAGGGACTGGTACACATCAACGCGAGATTTTGGAGTTCTTTGGGTGCTGCAGCAGTTTCCTGGCTTTCCGTGCACTCAGGATGCTCGAAATCATATCACTACCTACATCGCATGTACTATCATAACCCATTAGCTTTACACCAAGATCCTTGCATAACACTCCTAGCCTAGTCTTATCATCTTCGCTTCACTTCTGTAGACGATCTGCCTGCTCTCGAGAGACAGTGGCATACAAATGGAAGGCCCCGGATGCAGAGCTGTAGTCCTTTTGATCCCCATTTAACTCCGGCTTATTGGGCTGCAGAAGCAAATGCTTGTCAAGTGAAAACCGAAGGAACCCTGGAGCCTCTGGATCATCGGGTGTCGGTGAGGAGAACACGAAAGAGAATCTCCCGAATGCTAGGTCTGGCTCCAAGAACAGATCTAAAAGGGCACCATTGGGTGGTTTGAGGCTTTTAGGCAATGAATTCTTCTTCTGGTCAGAATTCACCAAGTTCTCCGAGGCACGACGAATTTTGGAAGCTTCTCTTAACCCGCTCAATAAGGCCCCATGCATGGTTGCAGGGTATGCGCGATTCGTAGCTTCTCCAGCGAAGAAGAGTCGGTCATTCACACTCTCAGCAAGAATGTCGTAGTCAGCACCAGAAGACCCAACTCTGATGTGTGAGTATGAACCTGAGCAAAAAGGATCACTACCCCATCTCGTGCAAACTGATTGAACAGGATCAGGAACAGTAACACCTTTTGGGCCATAAATACCTAAATATAACAAGAGTAATATGTTAGTCAGTTGTTTATCATAATGGTTAATGAAAGAAAATATCATAAATAATACATATGTGCTTATTCTTGAACTTTATGTTCTTGGGCTTACAGACGAGATGTACAATGCAATCATCTTGTTGATACATTCCTTTTGTGATCTTTATAATCAAAACATCCATCGAACATTATTCAAGGTAATATACAATAATGCTATCTTCCTTATGTTTTCACATATTTCTCTGCTCAAGTTTATACTCACACTCCAAAAGAATTATCTATGTTCGACCTCCCCATGTGTCTCATCTATAAAGGTAGCTACTGCAATTAATTCCTGAACGACACTTTAGTATAATTTATCTCCGTTTTTCTCTCTAGCATTTTATCAAAGCAGCCATTTGTAATACGCATTTTATATTATACAAGTACATAACTAAAAGGGTAAATAACAATTCATATGCATAACAAGGACCTTAATACTAGTGGTGTTTCACAAGTTTGTTAAGGGAGGCATGTAGATTAGTTTGTAGGTTACAGGTTAGAGTACAGACCCACTAAAACTTTCAGCTAGTCTTGTTGCTGTAAAGAAACACCGCACACCCTAATCAAGGGGGATGGCAGGGTCCAGCCCGACGGGGTCACCGGCATCGTCTGTTGCAGACGAGGCAGGCGCAACCGAGGCCCACGAGTGCCGAACGTCTGAGGTAGACGGGGCAGGCGCGGGAAGTATATCCTGTATCAAAAAATCAAGAGAATCCGGTTGGGGCTTGGAAGCCGCAAACGGAAAGTGAGTCTCATCAAAAACAACGTGGCGAGAGATGATGATCTTGCGAGTAGAAAGATCAAGACACCGGTAGCCCTTCTGGGAAGGAGGGTAACCGAGGAAAACACACGCTGCTGAGCGAGGAGACAGTTTATGGGAAGTCGTGGCACTAAGGTTCGGATAGCACAGGCAACCGAAAACTCGGAGGATGGAGTAGTCTGGCATTTTGCGGTGAAGGAGATGATAGGGAATACCATTATGTATGGACGATGACGGCCGCCGGTTGATTAGAAACACAGCGGTGGAAAGAGCTTCGACCCAATAGGATGGAGGCATGGCGGCATGAAACAGAAGCGTGCGAACAGCATTGTTCAGTGTGCGAAGCATCCGCTCAGCTTTGCCGTTCTGGGCGGATGTGTAGGGGCACGAGGTGCGAAGCAGGATGCCGCGGCTAGCTAGGAAGGTAGCGGTGGCATTGTTGATGAACTCGGTGCCATTATCCGCCTGAAAGCAGCGCACAGGAAAACTGAACTGTGTGTGAGCGTAAGCAACAAACTGGACAATATGTTCATGAACTTCTGATTTATGGCGAAGAGGAAAGATCCAACAATAATGTGTGTAATCATCAACTATGACAAGATAAAATTTATAGCCAGAAATACTCAAAATCGGAGAGGTCCAGACATCACGGTGAACAAGTTCAAAGGAGCCGATGTACTAGAAACCGAACTAGCGAATGGCAGCCTAGCGTGCTTGCCAAGCTGGCAGGCATGACAAATGTGGCGAGCTGCTTTATTACACTGGATAGCTGATAGCTTAGTTAGAGTGTTGACGACGGCGGGTGCAGGATGACCAAGGCGGGAGTGCCATAACTCCGGGGAGACGATGGCGACATGGCAGCGAGGTGGCATGTGATGTGGAATGGTGTAGAGATCCCCATTGCTATTGCAATCAAGAAGGACCGTCTTGGTCTGGCAGATCCTTAATGAGAAAAACCGTAAGCGTCAAACTCAATGGAGCGATTATTGTCGCGAGTAAGTCGTCGAACGAGATAATGATTACGAGTGAGTTGGGGGAGCGACAAGAACATTATCAAGGCGAAAAGGACGATCGGCTATTTGAATAACGAAGTGCCACGACGATGAATAGGAATTGATTGACCGTTGCCGACCCGTAATGGAGGACGGTGGCGACGGGAGATGGGAAAGTAAAATACCGTCATTGGAGGACATGTGAGATGTCGCTCCATTGTCCATGACCCAGGTGCGAGACCATACTGGATCGCATATCGGTTGAGGGCGGCAATCAAGCTTGCCGAAGTCCCGGTGCCGGAGGCCAGACGCCGGGGACCGCGCGGCGATGGAGAATCGCGGAGGCGCTTGGCGGTGTGTGCTGTGGAGAGGCGCAGGGCGCACCCCACCGCCTTCTTCTTTGGTAAAGGCCACGAGAGCAGCCCAAGGGTTGTAGCAAACCTGGGGGCGGCCGACGCTTCGCCAAAATCGCCGCCTTTCTTTGTTGGTTGTGGCCACCGCCGCCATTGCCACCTTCTTCTTTGGTGGCGCCCGCCGCCATCGCCATCCGCCGCTGTTACCACGGGCCGCCCTTGCCCTTGCCACCCTTGCCTTGCCACCGCCCCACGATTGGTGGGGGACGGGGTGGGTGGCGGAGATGGCGGCGCGTGAGAGGAGGAGGTGGTGGAGGCGGCCAGTGCTGAAGCCGAGGCCGCCTTGTCCTCGGTGCCAAGGCGGAGCTCCTTGACACGGAGCATGTTGGTGGCAGACTTGAAGTCGGGAAGCGGCGACGTGTTGGAGATGATGTCGGCGGTGTTGGCGGCGGGGGTTGAGGCCCGCAGAAGATTGAGCCACGAAGCTGCGTAGGGAGATGGTGTGACCGACCTCCGAAGGGCATCGGTGATGCGTTTCATCTGCTGGGCGTAGGCGTCGACGGAGAGGTCGCCCTGGGACAGGTTGTGGAACTCCTGCTCGAGGACGACGGCGCGGGACTCCTTGTTCGCCTGGAACAAGGCCTCGATGGAGACCCACAGAGCGCGTGCATCCTGTTCAGGCTCCATGGCGAGGTCAAGGACGGCGTCGTCGACGGAGCCGTACATCCAGCCGCGGAGGCAGGCGTCAGGCTGAGACCACAGGGGGTCAGTCGGGCGCGCGTCCGCCGTGCCATCGATGTGGCCGAGCAGCCCGTACTTGCCACAGAGAGCGGTGAAGAACGCCTTCCACTTGGAGTAGTTCGGGCGCTCGAGGCTGAGCGCGATGGGGACGTGCTGCTTCACGTTGACGGAGGCGTAGGCGGCGAAGAGAGGAGCAGCAACAGAATCCCCCATGGCGCCGGACGACAGGGCGCCGGTTGTGGAGGAGGAACTCGACGACGACGTCATGGGCGCGACTGGAAGGCAATCGCGCGCGGCTTGGCACGCAGAGAAGATGCGCGACTGCCCCGAGCGTCAATCCGCGCGAAGGCAGAGGCCTCGACCGAGCCGCGCGCGGGGTGCGATCGATGAGCCGCGCGCCGGAGTCCGATCCGCGAGTCGTGCGTCGCGTGGGGGCGCGACGGAGGCCGTGCCGCGAGTCGCGACGGAGGCCGCACGAGTAAGGGAGGTGCGTGCGGGGCCTGGGCTGGCGGCGGCGCGAAGGCGCACGCGGCCGATGGTGCGGTGGCGCACGTTCTCAGGGAGAACGCACGGGCAGAGGAGAAGCGAAGCGGAAGATGAGGATCGTAATTAGGGAGGATACCATGTAAAGAAACACCGCACACCCTAATCAAGGGGGGTGACCTTCATTATATAGCCTAATAGGCTAGGGTTACAATGTACAAGGCCAATGGGCCGTATGCCCAATATGGGCTGTTACAATACATTCTAACAGTTGCATTCAAATCATAAAGAGTGGTTGACCCAAAAAATATATGCACACGCTCAGAAGATCATTGATGACTTTGCTCTGCCAATCCCATAGTCAAAACTCAAAACTCCGCTGAGCCTATTTTTCTTTGTACTAATAGCTCCGTTGTATATGCATAATCATAAGCAGAAAAGTTTACAGCGTAATGCAAATGCATCAAATGCTAGTTCATTCATCTAAACTGGCATTATGATAATTATCCATTAGGGCCTGTTTAGGAAATGTTAAAATATGCCAAAATTAATATGGATAAACACAAAAACTAATTCATTCGTAAGGAATCTCAACTTAAATCAGCTGAAGTGCCACAATAATAACTATGGAGTGTGGACTGTATAGTTTATGGTGTGAACAATTCAGTAATTCTAACCATAAATCATAAACCAGTAAATGGTGCTTCAATTAAATATGGAGTGAGAGACAAGTATACTCTGTTCAGCCATCCAGTGAGCATATGACATACTCTGTTCAGCCATCCAGTGAGCATATGACATTATAAGATACATTGTTTACTTGTTTAGTCACTTCCACTTAATATTAATCATTAAGTTATCCACACTAATGCAAAGTATGCACTCATCTTATAAATCCCAATGCACTTTTACTAGTAATGCACCAAGCAAAGCAGGCAGATGGCATTTAGTTAATGTATTGGAAACAATTTGTTTCCATTTTTGTAATTCTTGGAGTCCCTATTAAATTTTAAAATATGATTAAACTAACCAAAATACACAGGACTATTTGTTCTAGATTTTACCTTTTAGAATGCCAAGTACTCGATGAAGTGAAACAACAGGATCAACCTTTTCAAACTCCAAAGCAGCCTCTCCTGCCACAAGTGCGATCAGAACAGCTCCACCAGAGACAGTGTGGTAGCTGTAGAAGAGAAAGAACTCCCCACGCTTGCTGCTCTCCTTATTCAAACACCCAAATGTGTCAATATCCTCATCCCAAAACACATGGGGAAACACCATGGCTACCTTGTTCAACAACCCAAATCCCAACCTCTGTATTGCCCCAAGCTTCTCCTCAGGCAACTCTGGGTCAAATATGATGCTCCCACTCTTGAGCACCCCAAGGGGCACCGTGCAGAGCACCATGTCAGCCTGGAAAATCTGCCCTTCTTCAACTGTGACACTAACCCCATCCACTCCATGCTCTATCCGCGACACCTTCTTCTCATAGAGTACCGGTACCCCATCACACAATGCATGTATGAGCCGGAAATTGCCTCCGGCTAAGAAACAATGGTCTTCCCCATCTCATAAGGATCATCCTGATCCCAGTACGCGAGTGAAAGCTCCGATAGGCAACCAGCATTTGAGAACTCCAGATTTGCAAAATGCCAATCCAAAACCATCCGCTCATCATCTGTCCTGGCCACGTGGTAGAGCCTCCTGAGCTTCTCTATAGCTTCCCCCAGCGAGATCCTCTCCGCAGCCTCATTGAGAGACTCCCGGAGCCTGGTAGCATGGTCGAGAAGCGTGTTGAACACCAGATCGATGCTCCTATCCAGACGTGTCTCCACTGTCCGGCCGTCGGGATAGTAGAGTGGGCAGCGGTCCCTCACCTTGTGCAGCGGAAGACCAAGCTGCCGCGCGAGCACGCCGAGCGGGTTGGCGTGGATACCGGTGATAACGCTGCCGCCGAGCTCGACGGCGGCCTTGTCCTCACCTAGCCGGGCCGTGTAGACGCGGCCGCCGGGGCGCGCGCGGCCCTCGAGGACGAGCACCCGGAGACCGAAGCGGAGGAGCTGGCGCGCGGCGGCGAGACCTGCGAGCCCCGCGCCGACGACGAGGACGGCCGCGGCGCCCTGGGTGGCGGCGTCCGGGGGCGGCGCGGCGGGGAAGGCGGCGGAGACGCCTAAGTTGATGTGGCCCTCGCGGGCGAGGTACCCGTGAGCCGCGGCGACGAGGCGGTCGTAGGAGGCGGCGACGGTCTCGAGGACGCGCGCGAGCGGCAGCGGCGCGCCCGGGTCGGCGCGCCAGGACGCGAGGATGTGGTTGCGGACGACGATGTAGTCGTTGGGCGCGTCGGCGATGTGGGCCGGGAGGAGGGGCCGCTCCTCCGGGAGCAGCTCGTCGATGGGGAAACCCAGGGAGAGCGCGATGAGCGCCTCCGTCTCCGTCTCCCGCTGCCGCTCCTCCGCGGACAGCCGGCGCAGCCGCCGCACGCGGCGCGACGCGGCGTCGCCGAGTAAGGCCTGCAGCTCCGCGTCGAGGAGGGACTCGTCGTACGACGCCGGGCGCGTCGACGCCGCGCGGCGCTGCGGCCGGCGTGGCGGTGACGGCGACATCGCCGGCGGAATCGGAGCGGCCGACGGCGAGGGGTTTACCTCGTGTTCGGCTGGCTTTAAGCCGGCTGGCTGGCTGGCCAGCTAACTCACGGCATCACTATTTACGTCGTGTCATAATAGTATTTTTCTCTCACAACAATCAGCCAGAACAGTATTTTTTCTCTCACGGTGTTTGTGGATGCTGCGCTCTGCAGCCTCGGGTTTGGTTCCTGGTTTTGGGATTTTTAACTTTTGGCCATCTCGACGCACCTTGCTTTACCATTTTTATACGTGCTCCTACGTAATTATCGTGGTAAACAGTAAACTTTGTACGTTTTGTCATTTTTGCTAACATGGTAAGTTAGATGGGCACGTCAGCGTAACAGTGAGTCTAAAAAGGTCTACAGAACATGCAAAATGACATATTTACCCCTGTTGCTTCTCTCCCTCTACTCACTGACGCGTGGGCCCCACACGACAGCTTTGTCTTCAACCTTCGGCCATCACCCGGAGCCGAGTGGCTCGACGACGAGCGTGCCCTAGCGGCGGAGGGAGGAGGAGCGGTGCGCTGGCACCTAGGTCGTGTTGCTACAGAGCTGCTGCCTCATAAAAGCTCCTTGCGCTTGCTCCTGTTTACAGCTTCCACGGAGGCGGGTAGAAGACTGGAGCTTGCACGGAGCTGTGGCCATGACTGGAGATCCATCGTCACCATCGATCTTCCCCATCCAGCCATCTCTGCTACTCCCAACGGGCTCTGCGAGTTCGCAGTGGCATGACGACTTCACCCCGCTACTCGTCGTTCGGCAACCCCCGCCCTATCGCCGTGAACCACCGCCGTCGCCGCCATTACCGTCCCGAGGTCGAGCTCACCGATCTCCGCATACACAACAGCTCTCGCCTCCCCATCTCATTCGTTGGCGCCGCAAGGACCCGCCGCGGCCGCCTATCCACATCTCAGCGCCAATTCATGGCCGTAGTGGCGTCTTCCACCTCAACCGAAGCACTCCGTCGGAGAGCCTCGCTTTTACCCGTGGCTGGCTGCCACCAGCCCCTCTTTGCCGCAAGAACTCCTCCATCGACTTCGCGCGCGGTGCCTTGCTCGTCGTCCTCGGCTGCTCGGCAGCCATGGAGGGATGACGAAGCTGGAGGTGCCTGGCTCCCATCCAGGTGCTGGAGGTGTGAGATGAAGCTGGAGGTGCCTGGCTCCCATTCGTGGCGGGAGGTTAAAGACCGCTAACGTGTGGGGCCCACGCATCAGCGAGTAGAGGGAGAGAAGCAACATGGGTAAATAGGTCATTTCGCATTCTCTGTAGGCCTTCTCAGGCTCACTGCCACGCTGGCGTGCCCATCTGGCGTGCCATGTCAGCAAAAATGACAAAAACGTAGGAGGTTCACTATTTGCGATGGCAATTATGACCCCGTTCGCTTCACTAAAAAACAAACAAAAACATTGTTCCCGCTGATTTGTTGTGAGAGAAAAACACTGTTCCGGCTGAAAAAAAAGAATCCAAAAAGTACGGATTATAAGAGGAGCGGACAGGGCTTACGTAGGAACACCTATAAAAGTGGCAAACGCATCCGATGCAAAAAGTTAAAAATCCCTTGATTTTGGGCCTCTGGGGAGGGGGAGGGGTGGGTGGGAACTGAATGCTGGGTGTCGTGACGTGATAATGACAAGTGGGCCCAGAGTGGCAGCGTGGTAACGCGTGGGCTCCTAGAAGCGAGCGATGAGGTGGGTGAGACTGGCGCGTGCGGCAATGACGTGGAGAACAAGGACTGCCGTTTTGGGGGCCCACAGACAGTGTATGCATCGGGGGCTGTTTGACTTTTCCTGTCTCGGCCACGACAAGCCACCCCTGTTCCTTTCGCCGCGCATGTGAATGGGTCCGTGGGTCCATGTGTGGCGCCCACCTGTCATGCTATGACATCGGGGCGCCGCTCGTTGGAAGTTGGGCTCCACCGCCTGAAGTGGTGAAATTGAAAGGCACATCGACTTCCTTGTGGGCCCCGCTGCAGAGCACAAGAAACTGTGAGTGTTCAATAATTGGTGAGACTACGAGTGTCCAATTTATTTATATTTATCCTACAGATAAATCCCTATAGGCAATTTCTTCCTAGAGCATGTACTGCAACAGTTTATAGCTAAGTTAATGAGTATTTTGCTCATACGAAAGAAGGAAGGAAGAATAGAGAGAAAAACTTAGATTCTTATACAAGCAACAAACTAGGCACATAAGCCTATACACTAGCTATACACGGGTAGATCCAGATAACAAGTGGATGTAAAAGAGAAATAAGAAAGAGAACGTGAGACACTTGAGTGAAAAGTAGTACCAAGTAGTTAAAAACAAGTATTGCATAACTAGACACAACAATTCATTATTTATATTATACACTTGTACCAAAATATATTTCTTATTTCTAAGAGACTCTTTGCAGGATTTTTTTTTCTTCAAAAAGATGAAGCTGGTGGAAAAGCCACAACAAAAATCATACCAAAAAGGGTCTAAGTTAAATTTAATTTTTGATCTATACGGCGTGATGTATTGATTGAGTACGGAGATCGCCTGTGGAGATTAATCCTTACGCAAATATGGACCAAATATTTCTCATAAAATTTGGGCGAAAATGGGGTTTTTTTCTCCATACAGGACAGGGACATGACGGGGAGCCATTCTAAAATTTCCGTGGAGATTATTTCCTGCACGGAGATGGGTATATGGACCAAATCTTTCTTGCAACGGAATATCTAGCGCTCGGACGTCTAGATGGGGCTAGCGTCCTGCTCGAGCCTACTGCGCCTGCTTCACGTGGGGGCCCGCGCCGCTCCATGTCCCGCGCTTGCACCATGTCCTGCGCACGCACCTTGCCCCGCGCTGCTTCATGTCCTGCGCTCGCACCGTGGCCCCCGTGCGCTTCATGTCCCATGGCCGCACCGTGGCGCCCCCTCCACACCCACGCGCATGCAAGCAAGCCCAGTGCTGCAGCAAGTGGCTACTGCAGATGGGTCCCACTGTAACATGTGCAGCACCAAGATCTATTTTTGCAATATCTAGATAAACATTTGCAACATGCATCTGAAACAATTGAAACACTTGCAATATACACCTGAGACACCAGGAAAACACGTCTGTAGCCATTGCAAAACATATGCAACATCCAGATAAAACATTTGCAACATATGTATGAAACACTTGAAACATATGCTTACAACATGCATGTATATGCAACATCCAGATCTACTTTTACAACATCCAGATAAAACACTTGCAATATATATCTAAAACAGATAAAACATTTGAGACATACACTTGAAAACACCATTGCAACATGTGCAACATCCTGATCTGCTTTTCATCGATATAAAACACTTGCAACATACCTCTGAAAACATTTAAAACACTTGAAATAGATGCTTGCAACGTGTAGTTTCAGCGCAAACATCTCCATGTTGCTTGGAAGAATAGATCGTCGTCGGCGTGTCGAGTTCTATCCTGACCGTCGTGGCTGCACGCGGGCGAGTTCTGCCCTAGCCGCGGCAAACTGGGTAGGCGGGCACGAGATGTGCGTGGGTGGGCTCCGACCAGGCTGTCGTGCATGCGGATGAGCTCCACACTCGGCCGCAGCGAGCTGGACAGGTAGAGGCGGAGGTCTTCCTGGCCGCTGATCAGGCGTATGGCCCCGTGGGGTGGAGGCGGTAGCGGTCTCCCAAACCATAGCCGGGCAGCACAACACGCCCGGTGGAGCTCGTGCGTATGCGACTAGCGGCGTCGCTTGATGCTCGTGCGTATGCGGACGGCGGTGGCACTTGTGCGGACGCGGGCGCTAGCAGAGCTCGTGCATAGGAAACCGAAGGGCGGGCGGTGCGGTGGTGCCAATGCGAATGGGGAAGATAAGATGTTGTAACACCCCGGTGTTATGCCTACATTTAGGCACTGCTAATCATACATATCATGCATTATCAAGCATCCTAATCATACCTGCATAATCTTGCATATAACAACTGGAACATTACTTCGAAACATACGAAACATGTTTGTGAAAAGTAAATGATGCATACACTTATTAGAGTTGTTTTGCTCTGATTCTTGCTTGCTAGTTGAGTAGAAATTGTTGGTTATGCTTGTAAATCATCTAGAATTGTTTAGCACAATTTTTGGAGCAAGGTTTGTATTCAAATTAATTCAAAAATTTTGCTTCCAAAGTAATTTCCCAAAATTTGGGTTTTGAGTTAAAATTTAACTTTGAGTCTATAATTTAAAATCTAGATAGAATTGGACTTTGGTCATAAAAGCAAAGTTGTAGGGAATTAAATTCTAAGCAACTTTCATTTTTGGTCCATTTTCAAAAGATGTCATTTTCTTGCTCAAAATGAGATTTGAAAAACTAGAATTGAAAATCTCTTGAAAATTTAAATTGAAAATCTTCATTTTTCCTTAACAGGCCACCGCCTCGCTTCTGGCCCGACAGCCGAAGCCGGCCCACCAGACCTCCCCACCCAGCGCCTCGCGCTTCCAGCGCCCTTGCCCAGCCCCAATACACGGCTCTTTTCTCCCTTCGCCTCATGCCCGTCGCAGCGCGCCTCACGCGCCATGATCATGGAGAGAATCCCACTGGCGTGGCGACTCCACACCGGCGTCGCCCGCCATGGCTGGCACCGACATGACGACACGCGCCCGCGCTTTCTTCCTGCTGGTGCAAGCGCGCTCACTCGCTCGCGCCGCGCCAGCCCTTTTCTCCCCTCGAGCCGAGCCTCGAGCTTCCGCCCTCGCCCGCGCCTTGCAGCTCCGCCGGCGTTGAGCTCTCTCGCGCGCCGCGCCATTCTTCCGATTGCTCGCGCCCGCAGCTTCGCCTCGCCTCCCTTCGGCTCACGCTCGCGCTTGCGCCGCCTTCCGAAACCTGGGTGAGCTTCCGCGCCCGCCACCGACGTCCATGGCGCCGTGCTCGTTTTACCGCCGTGGGCGTCCTCTTCTCCCTTTCTCGGTAGCTTGCTTGTCGCTGCTTTCGCTTTCGCCATTGCC